CACAGGGACGACACGATCAATAGCGATCCACCGGGTTGCGACTGGCGGGTTCCAGGCCGGTACGCCGCACGTGGCGATACATAGCCGGTGTCGAAGACTGAGGGCCTGAACACGTTGTAACGTGGGGTATGGCGCTAGCCGGGCACAGCGTTAAATGAGCTGGGCCGCAACAGGAAACGTGAGTCAAAAGCGAAGTGACATATTGGGCCCCGGCGTACGAGCAGGCTCCAAAGCCGACCGGTCACACTGCGCCTCTTAAACACACGGTCAGATTTCACGTAGACTCGTATGAGCACGTACCACACCCTGAAAACTGCGAGGGCGCGCTCACAAAACCACGCCCACCTCGGCAAGTCAATATGGCGCACCGACCGGCACTCAGACCACGAGATGGATACGTCAAGCGAGACATTGGCAAGCTATGATGGCGACAAGTCACGAACACGGTGTGAACACTCACACAGAGACGATTAGCAGGCACTTAACCGGCCGCACGCTTCGCAGAGGCAGGGCATGGGACAAGACACAGTGCAAGGCAAAGGTCCCAGGAGACGCCGACATCCAGTTCCATTACGGGGAGATCGGGTTCATCGGAGCTCAACAGCTGTCCTGGTGACCGGCCAGCACCACGGTTGGGCAGCCGTCGGGCAAAAACGGCCAACTTGCAAACCGTGAAAGACGGGGGCAGGCGACCGACCGCGAGGTCGCGGCGAGGTCACACGGGTCACGCGTTCGGGTGCCACGCGACCCAGCCAGGCGTGGCGTGACGGCCGGGGTCGCCCGCGACCCGCCACTGCAGCGGGCGGGGGAGGGCTCGGCCCGCGCGGCCCGTGGGAAGCCGGCGCCGCTGAGCACCTCCCCCGGGCACACCGGCCGGCGCGCGGCCGACTCGGCCGGCGTCGGCCGGCGTTCAGACACGGAGGGAGACGTGCTGGCACGCTTCCGCACCCCTCAGCGCACTACAGGGATAGAGGGCGCTCAACGAGCCACGCTCTGCCACACCCAGACCGGCGTTTCGTTTTCGTTTCCGGCGTGTCCACACGCCCTTGCTCGTCACGACAGCCCTTCAGTTAACCCACTCAGCATCCAGTGCGAACCATTCTCAATACATCCCACGCACCGCATCCTTCCATCGTTGCTGGCCGATTGTTGGCACGGATTCGTCCCGTTGGCATGCCAACCGACCCCTCCCGTCATACCGCCAGTGTGAGACAACCGTCATGGGCCTGTCCGACGAACTGAGCCGGTGCCCGACGACTGGAGCCGACAGCGACCCGACCCGTCCGCCCCGCGTGTGCTGGTGGCGCCGGCGCCGGCGGCAGCGGCACCGCCGAGCCGCTGGACAACTGTCGGAATTGGCCGCGATGGTCCATGCCGGCGAACTGTCCAGGAGGGGGGGGGGGGGGGGGCGGGGGGTCAGCCGGTGCGGGCGCGCGCCGGACGGGCGCGCCGCGGTCGGCGGCCACGATGGCCGCGGCGGCGGGGGTGTTAGTCATCGCCCGTGACGGCGGGACCCTCTGTAGGGACGGGACGGGGGCAGGTGGAACAGCCGGATCAATGCCGAGACAGTGCGACTTTACCGCGTCCTTCTTTATTCCCATGGAACGCGATAACGTTACAATCCCATTCTTCCCGAAGCGGTGTGGCTCCCTCCCGGCTGAAAGCCCGTTGGAGCCCGTGACGAGACCTCTACCTAGGCACCTAGGGTGCGACCTCCAGCAGACCCGGACGCACTGCCGTGCCGGTACCGGTCCGCCGGCTACAGCGGCAGCAGCGCGGGACTGCCTCTGATGTCATGCCCGATCGCGGGCGACCCCGATCCCACGGCCGGCCCTGGTGGACTACCCTCGCCCAGCCAGCGGGCAGCAGACGCCCGCTCGACCGTTCACTTGAGAGTGACCGAGCACACTAAGCGCTCGCGATCGAGCCCACCCTTCCACAATCCAGCTGGACCGCCTCGGACCCCAAGGGCCGATACAGCCTTCGTCATTTGCATACGAGTGAGGCGCTGCAAGCCACAAGTGCAGTATCAGTAAATGCACGAGCATTATGCCAATAAAGGCTACCCACGGACTGCGTCAGCGCCAGCTGGTGGTGCAAATTGCGCGTTCGCGGGCTATGCTGAGGAGGGGCAGCAGTCAGCAGCTGCATCCCAACAGCCAGGGGATGGGATGGCACGAGGAGTCAACCACACCGGCGCATGACCAGAGGCAAAAACATGATTCATATGGTCAGAAAGAGATTGGCACAGCCTGGCACCTGCAAATGAATCAGAATCATACTGGCAGGCACCTGCCCAAGCCACTGGCAGGCACCCATCTGAGGCACTGACAGAGTCCATCACATATTAATGCTGCATGCATGAAAAGGGCAGCCATGGACATGCACTGCCCAATGACCTCCGTGCTCAAATTGCAACAATAACATCTTGTATGGGCTACATAGAAAAATCTTACTGCTGTGTGCTCGTCTAATGACAGCACATTTGCGAACACAGTTTATTTGCTCACAGTAGCCTTGCATACCATACAGACAATTGTCTCCAATTCAGAAAACACCGAACTGTTTTCTGCAGCCTTGTTATCACGGTCTGTCACCAACCAACACACCAGTTATTTCATTCAAATGTTAGGTTCCATGTCTCCATTCTGTTCTTTCTGGTAAGCAAAAAAAATAGCTAAACCTGTCATAACATGCAGGAATACACTGGTTCCTTTCCAGACCTGATCCCCTTTTCTCTCAAGGTTGAGCAGCTAGTTCCCCCCTCCCCAAACTTAACAGAAAACTACACTCCTGCTCCTGCAGCCATCCCAAGGCAACTAGGCCCTTATGATTCAAATACCAAAGTAAAAGAGCAGAAGAGCATATTCAGATATAAAAGAGCATATTCATGGTAAAAGAGCCCTGTCAAGTTGTTTGTGGTAATTATGCCTTGATGTAAAGCAATCAGCCTGGGTGCAGGACCCATAGATAAGACAGTAGTAAAAAGTTATACCAATATGCCACTGCTAACTTTTTCTGGCACCAAAACTGATGAATTTCGTACATATCACTAAGCCAAGGTGGTGTAAACAGTCTACATAATAGAAGCACTTCAATGAAAATCATGTGTGAAATGAGGCTTGACTTTGTGCAGCTCTGTGACCTGGAAAATAGCTGTCACTGATAAATAATGAAACAAGCTGTCATTAATAGCTGATCAGAGACTTCAAGCATCGTGTTTTTGCTTGCATCATATGCCTAATTGTACTGAATGATGTGGACATTATTTTCAAAAGCGCTCAGGCTGCTGGGGCCACTTTGAGTCACACAATGGTCGCGAGAGGCACACATCCAGACGGCACATTCATTCAGTACTGACAACTTACAATTGCAGGCGAGTCTAACAGTAGTTCAGCTCGGTAATGGATAGTTTACCACGGACGAAAAAACAAAGGCTTGTTCCTTTGTCAACAGGACCCGATTACTTACGTTTCGCAGATTGTCCTGAGCTCACGCTGCTCACTTCAGCTCACGCCGCCAAATGGAGCAGAGTTGTACTCAGCGAAACGAAAAGAGTCTGGCGAAATCTGACACAATCTTTTACCCGTAGCCTAGACGAACAGAGAACGCCGACGCGCCGGCACCAGCGACTGCGAACCGCACTCAACACACACACACACTCCCGCAGTGGACTGCTGCAGATCGCAGTTTTACAACGGCGGCGCTTCAAGTTCTTGGGTGGCGATCGACCCGCAGCCTGAAAGAGAAGAGGCAGCTGAATGAAAGTTGTATTTCAAGAGCGTGACTTCATGGGGACTGGGAGCGACGGAGCTATGAGGGTTATAAGACCAACGTTAGCGTGGCCAAGGGCAAACTTTGCAGCTACGCGCCCTTTTAGAAGCGACTCGGCACTTTTGGAGCCGAAGGCTTAAAAATAATTGTAGTTCAAGACGTTCGTAATGTTTATATCACATTCAAAACCGACTTTCCAAGCATGGTTGTTGTCGCTGAGGGAAAGGGTCTGGAGGACATAACCCCTTCAAGTCTTGTAAAGACGATTTGAGAGAATAAAGATAAAAACCAGTTACCAAGACCAACCGAGACCATCCGCCCAAAGTGTTCTCCGAATTCAAAAGCATGGCCACCATGGCGTGGAGACGGAGGGGCTACCTTGAGTGATAGGGCCACTTATGATCCGATTTGCCCCCGTCCCGGAGGAAATGCTGACTAGGCTGCTGAATCCATCATGAACCAACAGAATTGATGAGCTGTAAGGACGTAGAACGCCACATGTGGAACGACATCAAAGCTAGCGCTTTCCAGCTTAGCGTTTTTGATCGGTGGACAACCCATTACCTAGAAAAAGAAAATGTACCGTATCCAACACGACCCATGGGTGGATGGGCACAACACGCCGCCTGCGTGTTTTCTGCAGTTAAGAGAATCCAAGTAGCACATCATGTTAAGGCCTCGCGACTGATTCTCTTGCGATGCCTGTTGAAATATTTCTGGTTACCACGCCTCGATGTAAAGCAATCAGCCCATGTTCAGGACCCATAGATAAGACAATAGTAATAGCCTTATATCTCGAAGAAAAGCCAAGAGAGTAAACCAACAGAAGTAATAGGCTGAACCATTTCACCAGAACCTGCAAAATCGAGTAGTATCATCGGCAAGCAACTTTGAATTTACTTCTGCTATTGTTTCGATAAAGGCATGTTGCTAAAACATCAAACCATCTACATATCCATTATCCTGTTATTTTCGAGGAATGAGGCTATTACTAGTCTTAACAATGTAAATAATGCTCCTCGCAAATGTACTGAACAACTTACGTAGCAGGTTCAGGACTCAAAACAGACACCACATTCGTTGAATTTCCATTGATTTTTAGCACTTCACGTAACAGTAACCTGTCACAGTAGTGCCGTTTCTTTAACAGCATTTCCGGGTGAGGATTTCGCCTGGCACGATTTGGGTAATGCTCAGGATTGCACCAAAAATTCAGACACAACGCGTATTCAAACCCTGTGTAATGCACAAAAGTGGTGATAACGACGCCGTTTAGCACCAAATACAACGCTACAGGCCACAACCAGCTCCGCCACCTGGGACTGCCTCCAGGACAATCCCAAGCTGCTGGCATGCTGAGCAGCGCGGCGGGAGTGTCGCATCCACATGACAGGTGAAATCCCCATCGAAAATATTACCGAAACGCACACCCGGGCATCGTAGGCAACGGCTACAGGCTTTGGCAAACTGATCCTCACAAAACGATCACCGTATAGCGTGTATGGCCACGAGGTGACACCACGTGATTGCGCTACGCGGGTTGATCTTGCGCGGGCGCTTCGCTATCTGCCCAGAGCTGGGGCGGCTCGGCAAGTCGCTCGCTGTCCATGCACTCCTCGGCCAGGCGCAGCAGGTCGCTGAACACGAGGTCTGGCTCGCGGGCGGCATCCACGCGCCGCCAGTAAGACGCCCACAGCTGGGCGTAGTTGTCGGCCACGCGCGACTGGAAGTCGTGCGTCTCGTAGCGCTCGGCGCCGAAGCCGGCGCGGCGCGCTGCCTCGGCCGGCGCCAGGTCCAGGTAGAGCACCAGGTCGGGCTGCGGCAGGCCGACGTCCGGCTGGCGGCACCAGTCCAGCGTGAGGCCCGGCTTGGCAGCGCTGTATGCGGCGCCCGAGAACGCGTATCGATCAACCACCAACGACACGCCCTCAGCCAGCAGGCGGCGCATGCGCGGCAGCAGCTCCCACCGGTTGGCGGAGAAGAGCAGGTGGATGGGCCGGTCGTCCGCGGCGCGGTCGTCGCCGCCGCCGCCGCCGCCGGACAGGTACTCGTTGATGAGCTGGCCGATGCGCGTGCTGCGCTCGGGGAAGCGCAGCAGGTGGGCCGGCCGGCCGCGCGCCGCCAGCGCCTCCACCAGGCGGCGCGCCTGCGTCGACTTGCCCGCCTTGTCGATGCCCTCCAGCACGATCAGCGCGCCGCGCCCGCCAGACTTGGCCAGCGACATGACGGCGACGAGGCGCAGCTTCCAGCGGAGCTCAGAACCTCCTGTCGGGAGAATAACGCGCAGTTAGTGGAGGCACCTGTGGCAATTGTGTGTGATCTGCCCGTGATGATAGACACTCGATGCGGGGAGGGGGGTTGATGAGCAGTGTTGAGCTACATTTTGTGTGGATGGGCATGGAACATGTGCACTTGGTGGTATGACTGAAATATTTATATTTCGTCTGTCAGGCAGATTGTCACACATTCAAGGTCATACTGGTACCAGCCACAATCATCATATAAGACCATTTGCAGAGCATCACTTAAGAATTTAGCCAGCATTGTCATTTGTGTAGCAGGCATGTTCCAAGTTTTGGGTTACAGTGGACACATTGAATGTTATGTTTCAATTGCATGACAATGTCTCCCAAGACACATGCATATTTCAGGGCTGCAGACAGCTCTACAAGGTGTCTTCCTAATTTGTTAAGCTAAGAAAGCATAACAGTAGACTGACCCACTCCCTGGCATGCAGCCAAAACTTTCTTCAGAGGAACCCAACCATTCAACTTTCTTCACAGTCACATTATTTAGACCTATGTCCCATGAAATCCCCATAATCTGGAGCAAGGCCTTGGCTCAGAGGGGCATGGCATGTCCCCTATGGCCCTACCCCAGCCTTGTTCCTGTGGCCACTCACTTATATAGTTTAACAACCTGCACTCAGCCATTTCAGGCATTAGTGGGAGCCTACACCTACAGAGCTGAGCCAGGTCTGGAAACACATTAATTTCACAAGCTTGTTCAGGGTATGCATTTTAGGTACATAACTGCACTGTTTTGAGCCTAGAAAATTGCTCTCAAAGAGGACTGCATACATGGATTGTTCTGATAAACCAATCAAGGTTCCACCTACTGCACCTTCAGAATAACCTGATAAAATCCTTTCCATGATCATACAACCACACATTCAAGGTTATCAGCAGCAGGTGGTCAGCAGCTAACGACATGTCCTTGCTGCTCATGAGCATTAGTGTAATCCTCCTGTGGTCAATTTCAGGTGCATGAATACTCAGACCTTAGCTTAGCACCCTGTGGCATTCTGGCAGTCTCTTGTGTCAGGCCTATGGCTAGGTCTTTCATGGCTTTTCTTGTGAGCATATGAGTTTTGTCTTGTTTTGCTCTTAATATAACATGCAATTCCAGCACTGAAACTGAGTTGTTAGGCATGACTGCATTTCTAAATGTGGCCATGAGGTTGTACTCATCATTCACAGTTCTTATCTCTGCTGTGTTCCCATTAACCTCAGGTCCCAAAACTGCAATCATAATTTAAATTTTGGGTTTGAGGCTCATGTTAAGGATCACAAATAAATGTCCTCACCCAAAATGTTTTCATCTTTGGTAACTGAACTGGCATCAATCATCTGCATTGAGTTTCTACTTGGGAATCAAGATGGAATGATTGGTGTATGCAGAAACATGTGGTTGATGAAAGCTCTATCTGAAGTTCTGAAACATTGTTTAAACTATTTTAATCCTGTCTAATAAGGTTTGTTTTTGTTAAATGGTTCCTAAGCTTATACCTTATATCTTAGATTGCCTTACCTTACACTTACCAGGATTTAGGGAGGCAAAAGTCTGTGTAGTCTGTCAAAAGTCACTAAGATCCTGTGGTTACTACCCAGAATATGCAGCACAAATTTCCAAAAATTGTCAAATAGAGCAAAAATTGTCCCATGCATTATTTACAGACAAGAGATTTTCTGTGGATTATGTGACATTCTGCTACATCTGTGCCTAACTGTGCTTAAATGTGTTTTATGCAAATGTCTCTATGAAATTAGATGTTACCCCAACCACTTTTAGATACAAAATTGACAGTATGTATACATCAGGGTTCAGAACCCAGAAGAATCATCAAGACTGCCTCTACAATATACCTAACAATATTTGTCCCCAAAACTGCCCATTTATCCAATTTTTCATGTTCAAGCCCCACTGAATAGAAAATTACTCTTAGGCACAAAATTACTATTGTAAATGATTACCCCTAAAACACCAATAAGCAACAAAAGAATAGGAAATTACAATTCTGGTTCAGATAAGCATTTTGGCACATCCCTATCAAACAGGAAAGCTGGTGTGGATACTCTTTTTAACACAAGGTAGCAATGTATACCATGATCTCACTTTGTTTCCAATGAAATGCTACAAGGCCATTTCCCACATTACCTATGGCTCTTGGTGCCAAAACACCATAATGTAAGGCTGCTCCTTCAGCTGTAGACACCACAACACGGCGTTTCAGCACTTGCTTGTTGCATCAGATTTCCAGTGCAGGAAATTGGGAGCTTGGACGGAGCTACCAAATATGGGGCAAATTCCACATCAAAACAACAGAAGAGCACTTGCACGGAAATGACCCTATCTGACACAATCCCGTCCCAAAATGCCGCCAATGAATTTGCTGCCTACTCAGGAGCCTCCGTAAGCCACACAACTGCCGATGCACCCGGAAAATATTCTTGAAGCACGTAAGCTGCATACCTTACGGCAACCCACGCCGGCAGCCGCCACCACAAGTTGCAACCCAAACTCAGTTGCCTTGCAACGACCGGCCCGGTTGACGGTTCGTGGACACGCAGTTCTCAACGCCCGATGAACGCGGCCGATACCACGATTCGATTTTTGCCGCCATTCCGCAACATCCAGGGATGTTGGTACAAGAATGTTAAAAATAGTGGCCGTGCGTGAGACAAATAGGAACCAACACAGAAGCTCTAGTAAAAGCAACGTTTTTCGGCTCAGATATTTAAATTCCTATTTTTGAAGCTCAAAAAGTGAAATAATGTTCTCGAAGTGTGATTTGTGCAGTAGAACTAAAAGAACGGGAAACGCAATCGCTTTATAGATGTCTCTTGTTATTCTACTGATCAAGATGTATACATGAAGAGCGCTGGTAGCGGGGAAACCACAGGGAGTTGCACACAAAAACACATGGAAAAGTACGCATGACAATTGTTCATAAGATAAAGCACGTGTGTCTCATGCTCGTCAGGATAAAGTACGTAGGGTATGAAGTTGGTAAGGGCGAAAGTTTGTCATGCCAAAAATATGCGTGGATAAAGATCTTATGGTAACGTGTTCGTCAAAAAAGTTTGTAACGCAAATGTCCGTACGCGCAAAAACTCGAGTAGAAAAATGTCGTAAGCAATTGTTTGGCACGGGTGTCGATTTGCATTATTTTGGGTGGGCTACTGACCCTCTCCGTCCCAATGTTCGATTTGGCTTTCCTCATGACGAGTTTGCCCCCCCCCCTGCCCAACTTTCAGAGCCAAGGTATAAGCAGAGCAGTGCAAGCAAGCAAGTCGTATGCCCTGCAAGTGGGCATATATGGCATCGGAAACAGTGTAGGCTTTTTGACAGTGTAATGAGCCCTTAAATCTCCACATTTACTACCCTGTCATTTAGCGAAAAAACATTTTCGTCTGCTCGTGGGCGCATCACTTTTCCTTAGAACTGCTCTTGGTCGCCTGGATGCGCAAAGACGGCCAATCTGTTGGGTTTTGTGTTGAAAAAGCTGGTTATGTTCAGCTAGCTTTGTGCCCATCAGGAACCTAAGAGGCCCTTTAGGGTCCAGGGGGAGAGTCCATCTGGATGTGGTCCGTGGTCCCCATCTGGATCTGCCACTGCCCTCATCACCCGATTGCGGGATTATATTCAGCAGTGTCGCGATGAGAGCTGCGCACGAACCAGATGGGACAGAGTTAAAGCTATCTCATGCTATATACACATGCTATATAAGTTAAGCTCGTGCTATCAGATTTCTGCCTCCTTCGCCGCCTCGCCCTTCACTATGCCTCCTTTGCTGTTAATACGCTAATCTTTGACCCCGAGCCCTCATATCATGACCTGTCCAACCGATTTGCCTCGCCTGAGGCGCATAGATACTGGGTGACCGTTATCCGGCTCTACCTTAATTGGTCGATCCAGACCGAGGGGCAGGAGTAACGGTCACTGGGCTCCATGACAGGTTACAGACGCTCCAACAATGATTTTAGACTTTTGGTAGCAATCCCTTTCGTAAATCACCATTGGCCTAACCTTAGAATATGAGATGAGTTGGGAGAGGTTGGCAAAGGGCACCTATGTGGTGAAAGCTCCCTTCCCTATCCGTGAAAAGCATCGGATATTACCCCCTTGATTTCGAGGGGTACGATATTTTTCGTTTTATTATTCCTCTCACCCTCAGTCACTGAAACAAAGCTAGTAGGCACTGGAAGGTCCAATGTTGTTTGTAGTTTGAAATAAAGCGTAGATAGCCGGTAGACGCGCGATGCCGGTAGATATGAGAATGATAGCCGGTAGACGCGTGCGGCGTCTATCGGCTATCATTCTGGCGACACAAGAGGGGTGGTGTGGTCATCCGGATGTCCTACATGGGATCCATCGTACACTGGTCTCCTCCCTGATGCGGGAAACCCTCTGAACCGGAAAGTTGGCCCCAGATCAACACTGGGATCTGGGATCCTCATTTACACAAAAGACCCCTTATCGCCGCAGGGGGTCAAATGAGTGGCAGCGAAACTCCAGTTCGGCTTAACGGGTCCCTGGCTGGAGTGGGCTGGCGGATCCCACGTTTGGTTTTGAGACCCCTGACTGTCAAGATCCTTCCATTGTCTCACTGCGGCCTCTCATCGCAAGTTTTTAAATATTATTTCAATGTCAGAGGACCCCCAACCAACGCGAGAAGCTCTCTGGCATTCGTGGTCTCGTCCGTGTTCAGCAAATGTTCCACTGGCCAACTCAGGGCTTCTGGCAGACGCAGGGCCCTGCTAGGCAATGTGGGCTCCTGGCCGACACAGAGGCCCCGCCTTGTTTCGGGGGCTGGCACAATGCAAATACCGGGTACCGGCCTTGCCCTGCTTGGAAAATATGCTCCAGGGCTCAGACTGACACGGAGCCAACTGTTCGGCACTGGTAGTGTCTAACCGACACAGAGGCCCACATCGACTCAGCTGGCCCACGATCGACGTACAGAGTTATCTGAATAGCATTTGGGGGCTTGGCCCCACGGACTGGACACCTCAATATAACTTCCGGCTAGCTCTTCGGACCCTAAAATCGGGCCCGTTAACGTCAATCCCGTGGGGCCCTTCGGGCCCCTCTTCGGGCTCTCGAACACTGTCCCTGGCTGACTCGGGCGTTGTCAACACAGGACCCCCTGTTAGGCACTCTGAGCCCCGACCGAGGCATAGGGTCCACGTTGATTCAGGGACCTCGACCAGGAGTGCAACCCAGGAAGGGGCCCCTGGGCCCTGGGCCCCTCCTTCCGTCCGGATGTTTCGTGTTTCATCACGGATGGCTCCCGACAGAAATTCAAACATCAGCGCGATATGTGCTCACCGAACTCCGGGCCTCTCCCTGAAAAAATATTGGCTGTGCTTCTGGCCTCGACCAATGGCGATCATGCGCCACATCTGTGCCCCTGCTTGTGAAATGGGCCCACAGGCTCAGGCTGACATGGAGTCAACTGTTTGGTGCTGGTGGTGCCTGACCGACATAGAGGCCCTCATCGACCCAGGGGGACCCCGATCGGTGCGAAGGACCATCTGATAGGTGTTTGTGGGCCCGACCATGCGGACCGAGGCCCCTCAATATGTCTGGTCAGCTCTTCGGGGGCTGAAATTGAGCCCTTAATATTCAGTCTTACGGGGTGCGTGCTCCCTGTGCCCTCCCCCTGTCTGCACCGTTGGCTGCACGTCAAGCGTTTCACTGCGCACCCAGCCGTTTCATCTCGGAAGTTAATGGGTTAAATCCACGCGTGGTGGTCACCAGCACCACCGCCGACGGTCACCAGCGGCACCGCCGACGGTCGCCAGTGTCACCGCCGACGGTCACCAGCGTCACCGCCGACGGTCACCAGCGCCACCGCCGATGGTCGCCAGCGCCACCGTCGACGGCCACCAGACTAATGACCCAAACCTGAACCCAGTTGCCTTTACTTGCTGCGGCGGCTCCCTGGCATGACCGCCAACCACCCTCTCCGCCCCCCCCCCCCCCCCCCCTTCACCACCCCCTGACACCATACGACAGGTCAATCCGAAGATAGCAGGCTCGTTAGGTGACGGGGCGGGGCTGATGGGGCGGGGTCGCCGCCGGCCGCCGGCCCCCATCAGCCGCTCGGCGCGCTCCGCCGCGCTCCGTCCGCCGCCCAACGTGTAGAGGCACCGGACCAGTGACGGTGCTGGCTCGCGAGGAATCTGCCGGCAGGGCGGGGCCCGTTCGATTCGGGAGATGTGCTGACGGCGAGGAGAGGTGCTGTTTTTAACCGACCGACCGACCGCCTGGAGAACTAAGCCGGAAGTCGGCTGGGGAAGATTATGGAAAACCGGAGACGGCTGTTTGCTGTATGTCACTGCAGTGTACCGGTAAACATGCAGCAGTCTCGTGATCAGTGGTAAGATGTTTGTACAGAGCCAAATCACCAACAGCCTGTCAAATGGTGGATATCTGTCACGTATTTATGCTTCTAAGCTTGGATGCTACCCAAACAAGCTTTCGAAGCAAATCACTTATCCGCCACGACATATGCATCAGTTTGCTAGTCATATCTCAATCCGTGTTCCGAACCCACTGGTTCGCCGCGCGAACATGTTCAGCTGCGCGCCAAGATAGCTAGAGATGCCATACGAGCAAAGGAGATGCAGTGGTTGTATGCCCGCGTCCGCTCATGACGGTGTGGGATTGCATGCCGCGTTGACTTGTGAAGGATGGCTTATCATAAAGATTGAGCTGCTAAGCACCAGTGGCGGATCCAGAGGGGGGAGGGACACCGGCCATGCCCTCCCCCTTGGACCCATCAGGGCCATAGGCTCCGAAAGGGTCCGTAGCCGACCTAACAGACGCGGGTTTTTAACACAAAGCGTAACAAAATTGGATGTCTGGGCCTCCAGACGACCAAGAACAGTCGCATGCAAGAGTGAAGGGCCCGCGAATAGACAAAGATAATTTTCGCCTATTAAGAGGGTGGTGATTGGGGAGGTTTAAAGGCTCGTCATGCTGCCTAGAAGCTCTGCTGCCGGTGACCCAGTATGTTCACTTCAATGGTCAATCCCACCTCTAAGGAGCATTCCACGTTGCGCTTGATTTCTTTGCATTTGCCCGGGAGGCTCTGCGCTGTTGTCGGGATCTGCTAGCATGCCGGTGTGCTCTTGTCGATCAAGGGCCTCCACGGATTCTTCACATGCGTTCGAAATGCTCCATACCCTAAAGCCGGTGGCATCATATGTAAACATGGCGCGGTACTCTCAGTCAATTAGAAGCCCTTCTCATTGGTCTCGGTTAACCTACCGACACACTCGTGATATCTTCATCGGCCCTTTGAGTTGGTCTACGGCCCTTCCAATATCCTGGTACTCACGCAGGGGCCTTCGCTCTTGTCGGGGGCTCCATCTGCTGGCCTGTTTGGGCGCACTTGATCGTTCAGGGCCCTCCACATCGTGTCTTGGGTACTTCTCATAAGCTGCTCAG